CAAGCCCAGCCTCTTTCTCTGACTGTACCACTGCCTCCAGATCACTGGGGTGGTTGGCAAACTACATAACCTGAGATTCATGTTTTTATAAAAATGCCTCTCTGTTGAATGATAAATGATAAATGATTGCTACTTTCAGTGAGTTATTAAGAAGCATTTTGGCTGCTTTAGCTAAAAGGCTTTGCTTTGCTTGCAAGGTCGTTCTCAATGAATTCCCTGAACTTTGAACCACATCTGAGAAGTTAGATAAACAAGGCAAGTATAAATACCAGAGAGCAGCAGCTGTTGAGGCTGTTTACTTCTGCAAAACAGAGATAAGCAGAGCAGCCAAAGAAAGGGGGAAAGGGGTAAGTGTTGTTTTGCTATAAATGCTGTTGTGATTTCTGGTTTTGCAAAGTGTTTGTTTCTTTGGTTATTGAGTTTGATCGGGGAGCTAGAAGTTTCCATTTGAAACCAACTCAAATGCATTTAAAAACATCGAAATATAGAAGAAAGTGTAATTCATAACAAAACTTATTTCCAGTCTCTTGGGCTTGGCAAGCTGTTGTTGGGCTTTGTGAGCCAACTCTGCAAAATGCTGAAGTCATGGAACAAAAATCATGGAATTTCTTAAAGTTTTGTAAATTTCTGCAAGAGAGAAATATAAAAGAAATGTAGTTCTCCAAGTGTGTGCAGAGACCCAGAGTGAAATTTTGGCTCCAGTGAAGTCAATTGTTCTATCATTTCATCACTATATTATTTTACCAGCTTGCTTCCACAGAATTGGAGGAAAGAAAAGTTAGGGAATACGAAGTCTGACAATAAGGCTGATTTGCAGCAGTTTTGTCTGTGTGAGTTTGGTAATACAAAACTTTCCTTGCATTGGAATTCTCTGGGATTGATGGAAATGCATATTATTTATCCTTGTTTCGTGTATTATGTATGTTACATTACAGAGCACAACTAAGTGTTTGATCAGATTTTGTTATGAATGGGGCAATGGGATACCAATGTAATCCTGCATCTTGGGAGGCGAAAAGGAGTTTTTCAGTTTCTTTCTTTTATAATGTATGGTTTATAAATACAATAAGCCAGAGTCTTATGTTACTGTATCACTGGAAGAAAAAGAGATTGTTACAATATTTCTCATGTTTTATGATAGTCACAAGTATAAAATGCTCTGGGTGCATGCAGGACATTTTGTGAGATTTAGGGAATCCTGAAACTCTGGATTTTTCATTTCTGTCTCAGTGGTCTCTTGTGTCTGCATAATTTAGAGCTTTTACTAGCTAAAATCCAAATATGAAAAAGAGTCTTCTAAAAATCCTGGATTCTTTTATTCTGCTCCCAGTTTATATAGTATTTACCATGGGCCAACATATACGCCTATGAACCAGATCTCCGCCCGGAGTAAACTGGAACAACATCATTGACGTCTATGCACAAAGAAGTTAAAAGCAGCAGAATTGGAGTCATTTCTGCAATCATTAGAATTGCAGTTTGGTAGGCGTAGGGAACGACTCAGTTTGTCTCACTGAGATAAGAGATTATCCAGCTGGTCGGAATACTTAGATTTTCCTGTTTTCAATTAAGAAAATAGCAAGTTTGTCCACTATGTTAGTGCTTTCCCTGAAATCAAAGGAATATTGCCAATAAACATAGTGGGCCAAATTCTGAGCTTACTTCCTGTGTGAGCTCCAGTTAATGGCCTGCTGGTTTTGTTTTGAGAATTTCAGCAGCTGGAATTGCTATGTGACTATATCTCATTTCTTTTGTTTTCTCATTTGCAGCTGAAGCCCAGCCATGTGGGGAGGGCTGGGACTGGCCCTGGTTCTCTGTCTCCTCCCAGGAGGAGGGACAGAGAGCCAGGGTTCAAGTGCCCGTTGTAAGGAACCCCCAGAATGGAAAATCGGGGAACACAGTCCAATGCTGAATTCTAGGGGCTCAGTGACAGTGGTGGCACTCCTCCAAGCCAGCTGATACTTGTGCCTGCTTCAGGCTTCCAGGTAAGGACATATCTCTCTTCCAAGAATATCTGAAAATGGGAGAGAGCAGTTTTTAAAACTGAACTATTTAGTTTCTACACATATGCAAAGTTTTTATATTATATATAGCTATGGTCACACACCTATGGCTTCTTCACTGGCTATTAATGATGTTAAGAAGCGGGTATCTGACTAATCATGTAGTTGATAAATTTGTATTGACTTCATGATTAGTCGATAAGGCTACCCCTGCTGCGGCTCTGTAGTTTAAATGTAGTAGGAGCTGGGTGCACAGGGCTCCTATTACCTTTAAACTGCAGAGCTGCAGCATGGGTAGGTCCTAGACATGGCATGAGCTGGGACTGAGCAGTCCTGGTTCACTCCAGGTCCCAGACCACTGCGCCTCTGCATTTTAAATGTAGTAAGAGCTGCCCAGCATTTACTACATTGAAAATGCAGAGAGATTTGGGATCCAGCACCTCTGCATTTTCAATGTAGTAAAAACCTACCTGCTTTTAAGCTAGCCCCCCCCCCAGGAACCAGCTCCTGCTCCGCCCTCCCTCCCCCCCCCGAAAGAGGCCGCAAGGGGGGGGGGGGGGGGGGGGGTAATTGAGTAGTGACTCGACTATCTGATAAGCCTAGGCTTATCGGATAGTCGACTGTTCAAATAGTCACTTACACCCTACTGTGACAGGTAGGGAGGTGAATGTTTAATTAGTTAATCAGTTAACTGATGGAGGCTGGAGTAGCTTCCCGCCTGCCACAGGCAGGGGGCTGCTCCAGTCTTGCAGTCCTGGGCTCCCTGCAGCCCACTACCACCTCCTTCAGCCCACTGCCCTTTTAATTGATTAACTGGTTAAACATATTGTTTAATAGTTAAACAATATGTTTAACTGTTTAAACCAATTAATTGGGATTTTACATGGCTAGTGTCAGGTGCAATTTCATTGGCTCAGTCGGGTTCCTAGGTGGACAAATTCGTGCCGGTAACTCAGATTCTTTAATCACTGACTCACTATTCGTTGGTAGATAAAACAACCATTTAAAAGCCTTGCCATCTTCCAATTACACCCCTATAAATAATAACTATATCTTTGTAAAAACTCAAAAATAGACTTTTAAGATCTTAGGCCATACAAATTAAAATGAACCCTAGCAAGCCCAGCAGAAACAGTTCTTCCAGAACTGTACTAGTCCCGCTAAAATGTGATTTAGGGTCTGATCCGATAGAGTCCCCCAAGCTTTACTCATAACCAAGAGTTTACCCTAGTAGTGGTAAACAAACTAATACAAAAGAAAATGGTGATACATTTGGAAGCTAGCAGAGGGCTACCCTGTAAGGCCTTAATTCTGCTCTCATTGAAAAACCGGTCCCTGAGGGTATGTCTACACTTTGCTCCCAGTTCGAACTAGAGATGCAAATGTAGCTGACCAAAATTGCTAATGAAGCAGGGATTTAAATATCCTGCACTTCATTAGCATAATCTCACTTGTGTGTTATTCCGCTCGCCAGCTAATTCGAACCAGGAAGTGCGCTCTGGGAGTAATGTTAGTTCAAACCAAGGGGTTTGATTCGAACTAATGTGTCCCAGAGCCCACTTCCTGGTTCGAATCAGCTAGCGAGCGGAATAACGCATGGCGAGATTATGCTAATGAAGCACGGGATATTTAAATCCCCGCTTCATTAGCAATTTCAGTTGGCTACATTTGCATCCCTAGCTCGAACTAGGGCTCAAGTGTAGACGTACCCTAAGAGAAAAGAAAGATTGATCTGAAACCAGAATGAAGCTTAAGTTGAGTCTCGTGGAATGGGGCTTTCAAAGATGCTTACTCCTTCAGGCTCCTTTGCAAATTCTAGCCTAACATTCAGCTCTCTCCATTTCATTTGCAATGTGTGGATGGATTCACCCACTTACGGGCACACCCTTCCCTTGGCCAATTAAGACAATCATTGGTGGGCTTGATTCTCTAGTACCTTGTTCCTTGCATAGCCATCATTTACCCCCAGGCTCAGGCCCTTCATTGCTGGAAATCAGGGTTGCACGTAGGCAGCTTTGAATTTCATAGGAAACAGCTAGTTAAAATACAGAATTTTTCTTGAGTTGATAAAAGAGAAAATACAGGGCTGATCTAAGATTCACTAATTCTTTCAAACTGCCACTCATTCTGTCTTCTTGGTTATTAATTTGATAGAGATAATGAAGCTAAGTAAAATCATATTTCTCACATATATAAAAAACTACCTGAAATAGAGAGATCTTTATAGGTTTCACTCTTTTTGCCATCAACAAAGGTAAGCTGTCCTTGAAAGCATTCATGGGATGGATAAGGGTCCACTTGTAGAAGATAGGCCAGGGATTCCAGAGCCTGTCTTTTTGCATGCTTAGGCAGGAACTAGCACAATGGATCTGGGTCTGTTGCTACTACCAGAACACAACCCCCCCATAATAATAACAGGAACAGTTGGACAGTTCTTTTGAGTGGAATCAAACAGCAGTTGCTCCCCTGCTCATAACTTGGATTCATATTGCAGCTATGAAATCACTTTGAGTTGAAAACTGGCAGAGCTGGCTTCACAGCTTGACTCCTTTAAACCCTTTCTATAGGCCGCGTAGTTCTAATATTACAATGGTCCTTATGAGCTTTTCAAGAATTGCTTTTGAAACAGTAGGGATGGGATTCTGGATCAGTTTAACTTAATGAGAGTTTTGACACTAATTTCAATGGAGTAGACTTTTACCCTAGAAAAGCAAATTTGACATTGGGCCATGGGATTTCAAGCTGTTAGGATAATAAAGAACTTTAGTTTTATTGTAGTTAATAATACATTCATTCAGTTTACAAAGCAAATACATTTAAGAAAAGCTGCACATTCATTCCAGCAAGATATGAAAGTATGGAACATCGATTTTAGGGAAAAGAATTTGCTTATCATGTAATTCTTGAAGAAGATTATTAGTAACATAACTTTATACTGCATGAGTTCTGTTTCCCTCTTTGTGCTAATGGCTACCATATCCTTTTTCTGACTTTTTTTAGTAGCTGTTATGTCATCCAAATAAGTTGGAGAGTGAGGAGCTCTTTGTTGTAGGTACCCCTTCCTGACCATCTATAGTGAGGTGCTATTTGGACTATACATGCACTCAGACGTAAAACTGGTAGTCAGTCCAAAATCAATTATCACTCAAATACACAGATTATATTAAATATCTAAATATATATCAATAATAAAAAACAAAGGAATTGGAATAGCATTCATTTAAATCATGGCCATTAAAATCAATGACACCAATAGAAGGATTACAGTTATTAGAGCTCAGATAAATCAAGGCAAATCATTGATCCTTAAAATAAAATGTCTATTTTAAAAGCATACTTTTAATTGTTGAAGAAAAAAAGATGATTCTTGCCTGACTAATGGTCTTTTTCTTTTAAAATCTCCATCAGATTGGAAGACCTGAGAGTGAAGTTAGAGGGTGAAGGATTGGTCAATATCTCGTATATCGTGGTTAATCATCAAGGAATCAATTCTCAACATAAAATTCACACACTGAAGGAGAAAGTATCAGAGAATATTACTGTATTCCAGCAGGATGAGAAACAACCTGATATCTGGACTACCTTAAATGGAAACAAAGATGATTTTCTTATCTATGACAGGTCTGTATATAAAGGAGAAATTAAAAATGATTTCTATTAATTTACACTGTTGTATATTGTAATCCAACAGAATGAATCTCATTTGCTTGTTATTCCGAAATAATGCTGTTGTGTAGACATACCCTAAATTCGAAATAAGATACATAATTTGCGCTATGCACATTGCGTATCTTATTTCAATTGTATTTGGAAATAGCTTATTTCAAAATTTGGTGCATCTACACAGTGCCAAATTTCAAAATAATGTGCTATTTGAAAACATCCCTTAACTCTCGTGGAACGAGGGTTACAGGGATGCCGAAATAGCGCTCCCATTATTTCCGAAAATATTTTGAAATAACAGGTGTGTTTAAAAGATGCAGAGTAGCTATTTTTCGGGCTACCTCTGGTATTCTGAAATAGCCGCATTGTTTAGACATACCCTTAGAGAATAACTAATATGGACCAAATGTTGCAGTTATTTAAAATCAGTCTAAGACTGGAATAGCTTCATTTTTTTCCCCAGAACAGTTACTTTGGATTTACAACAGTTGTAACTGAGAGCAGAATTTAGATCTAGGATTCCAATCACACTTCCTTATTTTTAATATTCATATAATACTATGATATCTGAGTCTGATTTACACAACATTTATTTATCATATTTAAACTGAGCCTATAAGGCTGTTTTATGAGGAAAAGAAGGGCTTAATCCATTTAGACATTTGCAGGTTTATTGAGTAGAAAATTTTTTGTCGCAGCTTAAAATAGCGTTCTTTGAAAAAGAAACAACTATGTAAATGAGTTAACAGTAACATAGGCTGATATCCTTATCTACAGCCAAATCCTGGAGCATACAGCAAAGTCCAATAAACATATTTTCCTAATGTGAAAACATCCTAGGTTTGAGGAACTAAATCTCAGCCCACTGATTATGCTGTCTGTGCCATGTGACATGGAGACAAGAAGCAGCTGTAACTCACTGCTCCTGTCCACATATGGAGCTTTCATCTAGAGCAGTGCATGGATGCATCAACTACACCCCTAGCTTGTCCACAGTCCCTTTTTCAGGGAAATTGTGAGGACTAGCTGCAATGATCTTTCTCCTGGAGAGAAACGTGTGCATGGTGTTTCAGCTACTGTTATCTTCGCCACCCCCACGTATCAATATGCAGATTTACGACTGCTTTTGTGCTGCTGTTAAGAGCACTCCTAGGACTTGGCCCATAGTCTTTATTCAAGCAGAGCTGGGTGTATGGAAAAGTTCTTTTGTAAATTGAATTTACCTTTGTAATATGAGAAACTGCACATTATAGATATTTAGATTGTAAACGTCTGGGAACTTGGAGCATCTGTCAGTTCTATATTTGCACAGTGCCTCATTAAATGGGTTCCTGGTCCATAATTAAGGTTCCTGGGCAGGACAAATAATAATAATAATAATAGTTTTTTTGGGTTTCTATCAGAGGGAGCAAGGGGGGAGGGGAACAGGAACCTTTGGAAGGAATATCCAGTTTAAAAGCTGGTTCCCCCACCACTGTCTCCATGGGGTGGGAGGCAGGGGAGGTAGAGGCAGAGGCAAGGAAGGAGACTAGACGCGAACTGGGAATCAGCTGATTCCTGGCTTGTGCCTTGTCCCTTGTCCCAGGTGCTGCACCTTTTCTTTTTAAATGTAGTAAGAGCTGTCTAGCTTCTACTACATTTAAACTGCAGAGCCACAGCGGGGGTAGCGAGCACCCCTCAACTGACTAATTGAGTAGTTGATAGAAATTCCATCAACTAGTCAATTAGCTGATTATCTGCATTTTAACATCCTTACTGTAAATTTCCTTCTCTTATTAGGTGTGGCCGTCTGGTGTATCATCTTGGTCTGCCTTATAGCTTCCTGACTTTCCCATATGTGGAAGACTCGATTAAGATTGCATACTGTGAATACACGTGTGGAAATTGTTCTTTTATGGTACTTTCCTTATTTTATTTATATATATATAATGTCAGTGGAAAATGAGATTGACTAATCTTTAAAGGAATTATTTCTACCTGATTAATCCCAAATGTCATTGTTTACCATCCTGGGCCCTTTTATGATGCCTCATTTATTAAGCAATATGTCACATATTTTTCAAAATGCTAGGGCTGCTCCTGCTGGCCCCCATGTGGACACTTCCAGCTCCCAGTCCGTGCTGGCTGGGAGCCGGCAACTCCCATGTAGGCAGGGGGAGGGGGATCTGATAGGGCTGGAGCAGAGCTTGACTCATGGCTGGGCTATGAGCGGGGAGCTGTTAACAGGTGCCAGTTAACTGTTACCCGGTAATCATCTTCTGTTAAAGGTGATGCTTACCAGGTAATTGTTTAACTGCTTACCCATTAACATCCCTAGCTATGACAACACTTCATGCAAATACTCTGATTAGCCAGTATTTTATTTAGCTTCCTACAGTTCTAAATTAAGGCCCTAGTCCAGTGCTCATTGAACTTAGTAGAAAGATTCCTACTGATTCTTTCCTTGCTTGTTAATACTTTTAATTTCCTCCTTGCTTGGTTGATACATATTTACAAATAATGCACTGGGATTTTGTGGACATCACAGGAAATATAAGATCATGAAAAGGATGATAGCATGACTACATTTTTTTGAATACCAAGAGAAGATATTCCCTCTAAATTCTCAGTGATCCATGCTTTTGTCATATCAGCAGAGCCATGCTTCAAAATACATTGGCAAACACTGTCCCTCAAAGAAATCACTCAGACACAATTTCTCCACAGCTCCCCTTTTGCATTGGGGAACAACAACTGATGTGATCTTTTGCATAGTCACAGCACTCCTTGGAGTGCTGGGAGTTGCATGGCATGTTTTCCATTTGTAGTCACGTTATTTCCTACAAAATCTAGCCCTTAATTTATTTGTGATACAGCCATGGTTTTCAGAAACATTTTTAAAAAGGATAAGTTGAACACAAAAACCTTTGCAATGACACTATTTTATGTCTCATTTGATTAAGCCTTTACTTTCACTGAATGTATTAATGCTATTAGTTAATCGAGATTTAAAAACTAATTCTGCTCATTTTAGATGTGTGCATTTCCATTGTGTGAACTTGTATTTTCCAGACCCCAGTTGTTGAAGATATTTGCAAAAACATAAATCAGACAACAGACAAAAAGCTGTCTGAAGAAGCTCCGAAGCCACACTATCACCATTCACATCACCACAATCAACACAGACATCAACACAGGCACCAACACCATGAAGGGGACCAGCTTTCAGAAGATCAGAGTCAAAATGATTCTGCTGCAGCCACAAGACATCAATCCCCTCAGAGCAGTCAACGTAATAACAGGGTTGTGGGTCGTAATAGACAGGGTCAGAAAGATAACCAACAAAATGTAGAAACTGCCCCTCAAAGAGAAGTAGAGAAGGGTCCTACCCAGGTTAAGAGGCCTTGTAAAAAAGGAACTGCCAGCTGAAAAAATCAGTTAACCTGAAACTGGCAGAAAGTGTCACAATCAACTTCTAATAGCTGATGTTGACACTGACGTCACCTGTTGTTTGAAGAATCAGGAAATGCAGCCACCTGACATTGTCGGGGAGATCTTCCATCTACCTGCAGGTGACATGGCCAGCTGTTAGCAGAGAACATCACTGAATCTTGACAGTGACGTCTGCCCACAGCTGCTTGACATCCACCAGCAGCAGGTGAGCGTGAAATATCTGACACCTGACAGTGAGAACCAAAAGCAGGAAACTGAGCATGAGAAACAAACTAAACATTTTAACATCAGGAAAGAGCCCTTCAATTTGAATACATTTAATTGTAATATAACTCGTCAAAGCAAGCTTCAAATTTTCAAATTAATATCCTTGACAGGAAATTGAGACGCATAGAGAAATTAAAATATAACACTGTAAACAATTTGATGTGTGTTACAATCCCATTAATAGAGGGTTGTTTTCATTTTAAAGTAAAATTACCTAAATTGTAGTTTGTTTTGTCCATGCCAGTTGAAAGGTGTCTACAGTATTTGGTTAATTTGTCTTTCTTGTTTCTCTCCTAATATTCTGTTTGCATTAGTGAAGACAGACGCATAAACTATAACCTAGGGGCTTCTGTTTGATGTTTAGCAACCAAGAATAGAAGAAAGCCAGAAAAGACATTCTAATCATGTTTTATTTCTGAAGAACAGGAAAATATTAAAAAGTTTATTTTTTCTCGACTCAAAAAGGAGCTACAGATGTGACCCAATCATTTTGTTTTTGATATATATGAAAAGTTTATTCAAGAGCAACTTGCCATAACAATGTTTTATTTCAGCTGCAAACTATATCCCCAAAATTGAGTTGTTCAAAACTAATAGCTTCTGTGCTGTTTGATATTCTAATAGTTTTAAAACCAGGTCTTGTATCAGGATCCATTAGGAAGGACCCTTGTGCCTTTGTGGAGCACTAATGAAAACAGGATTCTGCATAGGCACAGAGGGCAGTGTTAGTAGATCTTGATGTGGAAGCAAGTCGTGATATAAGGCTGTGGATCGAATTCAGTCCTGGTATAAGCAGACACAACTCTGACTGAATTGCACCTATTTATGCCAGGGTTGAATGTAGGCACATATATTGATTATTAATGTGACTTACTAATGAAACTTGTATAATGTCTCTCTTGATGTAGTTAACATTCTTACAATTTGACTATCTTAACGAAACTGAAAACAATGTAGTATCTAATTTGAAGGATTATGTAAGTAAGAAAAGGATAGAGGTGAATGCTTTGGAAGCACATGCCATATAAA